GACCACTTTGTCAATGTTGTTGTTAGGTACTATCGAGTTGACTCCAACTCACAGGAACCCTATGTACAACAAAATGATACGCTGCCTGGTCCTGCACCAGCCTCACAATCCTTGCAAGGCCTGAGCCCGCCGTTGCAGCCCTTGTGTCAATCCATCTTGATGAGGGTTTTTCACTTTTTTGTGACCCTCCATGTATATCATGAGTGGTAACCATGCATGATATCCCTTTTCAGTGAATAATCCCTTCTAACAGACTACTTAGTAGAGCAAAATTTCCCATAATTAAACTTAACCTCATTGATTTCTACTGACCTCACTTACTGTACTAATAGGAGTCCCTAGGTGGTGTGAATGGTTAACGTATGTGGCTACTAAACAGAAGGTTGGATGTTTGAGTCTACCCAGAGGTGCCTCTGAAAAAAGGCCTATAAATCTACTTTAGAAAAAATCAGCCACTAAAAACTCTATGGAGTGCAATTATGCTCTCACCTACATGAGATCATAAGCTGAAACTGACTCAATAGAAACTGGTTAGTTAGGATGGTTATCATACTAATAAGAACTTTAAAATGAAAAACAATATATTTCTAGTTAAACTCTGATAAACATTTTATTCTCTTCCAAAATCCCATCAAAATGACAATTAATGGAAAAATATGCATAAACTCACAAGGACAAAGAACAAGAGAAGCAATAGTAGAACATGAAAAAGTGGTAACTAACATGTCAGTTAAGATAAAGGTAAAATCTAACCCTAAAGGAAGAAAGCCAGTGAGAAACAGGCAAATTCTTTCCACTGACCCCTTGGTAATCAGCTTTTAAGTATCTCACACTTACAAAGGAAAGAAGAAAGGATCCCTCAGGTATTTGAAGAAAGGCTCTAATATGAAAAATCCCTGGGGGAAGGATCTGGTATCTTCAACAAATGAACTACAAGGACAAAAAAGAAATGGAGACAGAGCAAACAGACTAACAGAGTTGGTGTCACCAAGTACTGTAACTCAGGTATGTCCTCACGCTTCCATGAGGAAAACATGCCTGATGAGTGTGTGTCTCTGTGTGTGTATATGGCACAGGCCTCCACTGTAGCTCCTCCCACTCTTTTCACCAATGGTGGGCACCACAGCTGGCCAGGCCACAATCTAACTAGTAGGTGAGATGGGTGGAGGAGCAACAAGTTATTATAATGAGTGATGGGTGACACCAACCCAAGTGATACCTCTGCTTTGGCAGCTCCTCCCTCTGCAGTGAAAGCTGGTCAGCCCTTTTACCCACTTTTGACCCTGAGGTAGTTTTGATGTCACCCTCTCCAACAGTGTCACAGGTACACTCTATACCTCCAATCCCCTTATGCAGACCACTGTAAATTAGAATACTTAAGGGATATCATCCATTTGCAAAGTACAGGAAATCCTGATCTAACATACTGCAAAAAGGATAATGAATTATATTAGGGACAAATAGTTTTTAGGCACAATTCCTTTTGTTAACGTTAGACATTTTCTGTAAGTCTTTAAAAATAAAATAAGTAGAAAGTAAGAAAAATCTAAGAAATTTAAAAATGATGGTAAGAAATAAAAAAGTCAAAAGAAGGACTGAAGATAGTTGATGAAATAAAAAAAAAAAAAAGGAAAATAAGGGGAGAATAAGAAAACTTAGGAAGTCTAGCATGCTCAAAGTATGGCAGTTACAAACTGGAGAAGAAATGACAAGACTTTCCCAAAACTGAAGAAGTGAATTTCTAGATTGAAAATGACTTGGTATAATGAGTATTTTAAAAATACACAATAAAGAACACAACTATATATAAATTTCTGCTCAACATAGATAATGAATAGATTCTAAAGACTTCCAAAGAGGAAAGGCTGTTCATACACAAAAGATTGGGAATCACAATGGCAGTAAACTTCAGAACATAGGAAACTAGAAGACAATGAATAAGAGCAATGCCTTCAAATATCTGAGGGCAAAATGTTCTTCAACTAGAATTTTATAACCAGCCAGATTATAAATTAATGGGGTAGAATAAAGGCAGTTTTCAGACATGCAACATCACAAAAAATTTATCAGCCATTTCACCCTTTTGGAGGTAGTAACTAGAAGCTGTGTTCCCTCAAAACTAGGTAGTAGAAGAGAAAAAGGGAGATACAAAATTCTTCAGACGAGGATCCCATACAGTAAAAATGTGAAAGAAATGGGTCTCCGGTATACTTTTTGATTCAGCTATAAACAATTTTTATAAAGCTGTTAACATTACTGAGAGGACAAGGTAAAGCATGTGTGAGCGGCAGTATAAGAGAAGTAAACTTTCATCTTCTGTGTTAAGAAGTTGACAGAGCATGTCTTGAACACAATCAAGGTATTATAATTTAAGAACACTAACTATAAAAGTAAATGACAGAAGTAGTTACAGAGGTGAACTTCATTTCTTCTGAGGGTCGAGAATTGGACTAGGGAGTAAGTAGGGTACATGCAGGAACTGCCATTTTACATTATAATACTGTATAGATATTACTTTGATAAAAATAAGAATTGAAAAACACATTAGGAATTACCCAGTAGCCTATAATTCTAATAAATCAAAGATCTTAATTTTTCTATGACCCATTATTCATCTATTTTTTATAATTTTATAAACATGTTTATGAAATATTTGAATTCTTGCTAGTGTGAATAATGTTGTTTCAAGAATTTTTAAGCACAGAAGTTCCTTTCTTTGAGATTATTTCCTCAGGTCAAATTAGCAGCAGTAATGGCTCTTTGTACTTATTGCAAAACTGCTTTCCAATTAATGCTACCAATATGTAAAGGGTAGTAATTTTTTTATATGTACTTTTTGATTAGCAAAACTGAATATTTATTTTATCCCCAGTCAAAATTTTATTCTGAGATCCTTTAGGTGGAGAGGTTATACCATTATTTCTTATGAGCTCCTCACTCTACCATTCTTTCCACATTTATTAGTTCGAATTCTTCAAGAAGGAACATTCCTTTCCTCCTCATTATTATTTTATGTATTTATAATCAATATGGATTCATGGTTTCTTACAAAGGGTATAATCTATCTCTATCACTAATTACTGCAATGTTAAAACTACTAGATTCAGTAGGAGCCCCTTAATCAACTCCTTATATTGATACTACATAATATTTGAGGCAAACATTTTCCTTATTTATTTTTCTTATTTATATTATTTTTCATTCTATGAAAAGTTAAAATTCAATATCCCTTCATATTTGTACTAGATGTGTCTCAAGTTTTAGAATTCAGTTAGGCTGGCATTTACTATGGTTCATCGTTTAAGAAAAGATTGTAACTAATTTCTTTCCAGACTGCTCAGCAATATTTCAAAGAAAATGTATTACACTATTATTTAATTCTCCTATTGTTCTTTATACTTGCTTTGTCATGCACCATAGGAAGCACTCAATATTTGTATGTGAAAATTTTTAATATAATTTCTTGTACTGTTTTGTTCCAATGATCTGTATATCTGTATTATTCCCACCAATAACACTGGATTTACAGCTGTTTTACATAAGCTTTACTACATGACCGGGCTTCTTCTCATCATTCTTCTTCAGGGTACTCTTTGTGGTGTATGTTTTATATTTCAAATGAAATTTTGAACAATTTTGTTAAGTTTCAAGAAAAAGGAAACTGGAATTTTGAAAGATATTGAGCTAATTGGATGGCTAGAGAAGAACTGAAATTATTAACAATCTTTAGAGCCTTCTCTAAAAAGAATTGGGAATTTATTCTCTTTCCCAGTATCTTTAGACTTTTCAGAGTTTTGTAGTTTCCTTTTACATACAGCACACACAACACCAAAGCCGTTAAATATGTGAAAACAAATGCGACGTTTGTTACTTTTGCAGTTTTATAACAAGGGATTTATAAGCATAAAATTATTAAAACACTATAAAGGTAGGCTGCTGTGGATTAATTTAATTCCCTCAACTTTGCAAGTGTAATGAAGTGGTATGCCATGGGGTACAGACTGAATAGTAAAGAAAATACATTAGAGAAGTTTGTGAGAGACTGGAAGCAAAGGACACAGTGTTGATAGAAGAAGGAAAAAAAAATTGAGGGGTTGATAATATCCAGGGGGAGTCCCTGGGCGGCATAAACAGTTAAGTTCTCAAATAGTAGCTGAAAGGTCAGTGGTTTAAACCCACCAAGAGGCACCTTAGAAGACAGGACTCATGAATCGCTTCAAAAAGGGCACAGTCTTACAAAGCCTAAGGAGTTCTATTCTGCACACATGAGGTTGCTATGAATTGGAATTGTTTAGATGGCAACCAACAAAAAACACAACAAATATCCAGGGTGGGCGACCAACTGGAAAAAATGGTATCAAAAATGGTAAATGATCATTTCCAGTATTACTTTAAGACTATTTCAAAATCTTCAGAAATTACATGTAAATCAAAGAGGCAAAAACTGTTATTAGGAATCAATATATAAAACATCTAGAGGTTGGGTGGTAACATACTAATAAATAAACGAAGATTTACATATATAAAAATCTACATACAATTTCTCCTAAATGATATTTTTACATATACAAGCCAAATTCTGCCTTTATAGTAACAAGCTTGGAATAAAAACTTACTTAGAAACCATAAGTCAATACGGTAAAGTTCTCAGAATAAAAGTTGTTTTGTATTTAGTATAGATTTAGGATTTTTTCAACATTAAAATTACATTAATTTGAAGATAAATCAAACCTAGTTTTCATAATCCAAACTTCTAGTTTCCTAAAGCCTAAGATGAATTTATAATACTTCTTTTATAACATGTAACTTCCTTTCTTGTTACTCATATGATCTCTAATTCAAAGAGAAAAATTCATCAAAACAAATCCTAAACTTAAAGACAGTACCAGAAGAAATTCTGAATGAAAGTGAACAGCCTAGGTGTCACATGAGATCTACGAAGCCCTTTCAGTTGGTTTACAACACCTCCCTGAAGTGACAGTTAAGTAAGCATCACTTACCTTTCAATGTGGCCTTCTTCAATACTTTCATGGCATAAAGCTGTCTAGCATCAGAGCCTGAGATTTTTTTAACTAAGAAAACCTGTATTGAACATAAGATAAAATAAATTTTACATAAAGCCTCACAACCTATTAAAATAAGAACCTTGCTATAATATAATTTATGTCAATCAGAGTCTGATGATGCACTACATATCAAGTTTATTTCCCTTAAAATGTACCAATTACAAACACAAAGAATTATAAACACTGATTACAACTTGGGGAACATAAGTAGATTTTTTTTTCTTTTTCTTTCATTTTTAAAATTTTTTCTTTGGTGTTTGCTAATTCCCAACATACATCTAACATGTAAGACAGAAAAAAAAATAATCTTTAAACTGTGCAGCAATTAGAATAAGAAAAGCCTAATATGTTTAAAATATAACACAAGTAGTCATGGCTCCACTGAAAAAAATAATTCTCATTCCATAAAAAATGTTACAGTTATTTCCCTTGATCACAATTTTCCTTTGATGCAATTACTCATTGATAATCTTTATACACACACACAAACACAAACTGCATACAAATATCTCCCTGCTAAACAAAATAATTTAAAAGTACATTTACAAAGGAGTCTATTAAAAAATATTTAATGTGATTTAAGTTATAATGCCCAACTTACTTTTTTAAAACTAAATTATGACGTATACCTAAATATGAAGACCACAATCCCCAGGACATGACATAGCACATCTTGATTTTCTAAATAATTTTGTCTGCTTTCTACATAATATAGGATTTATGTAAAATGACGAAGTCTATGCTAAATAATTCGTGGTCATGCTATAAGATGACTAATATAAAATTATCAATAAATCTCTCCTACTCATTTTGACCATTAGTTTCATGTTCTTTTCTACCAAACCTTTAAACAGGACCTGAATTTCAACCCCCCAATCCATTCTTTTATTATTGAGCTTCCCCAGGTAGGAAGAAGAGAAGCAATTCTGATCAAGAATTAGCTTTACAGTCACCTCTTAACTGCCTGCATTAGTAAGCTAGACTACTGAAACCAAACCCAAAAGCAAACCTACTGCCATCAAGTTGATTCTAACTCATAGCTACCCAACAGTGCAGAGTAGAACTGCCCTATAGAAGCTCTGGTGGCATAGTGCCTAAGGCACTTGACTGCTAACCAGGAGGTTGGCGGTTCAAACCTACCAGCCACTCCTCAGAAGGAAGGTTGGCCAATCTACTTCCGTAGTGATACTGCCTCAGAAACCCAAGGAGGAGTCGCTATGAGTCGGGTCTGACTCGATGGCACACAACAACAACAACAATAACTACTACATAGGGTTTCCAAAACTGTAAATCTTTATGGCATCAGACTGCCCCATCTTTCTCCTAGAGTGGCTGTTGGGGTTTGAACTGCCGACTTTTTGGTTAGCAGCCAAATGATCTAACGACTATAAGGATACAATAAAAGAAAGGAAAAAAATAAAAAAAGATTCATCCAGCTGATGCTAGTGACAAGGGAGAGAACCTCACTTGAGAAATTCTGCCAAAGGGAATGGCAATGACCTCAAATCAAGGAAAGAACATAACAACTGTCACAGAAACCCTGTAATCACTCCCTCCTTCTTAACTATACCCCACCCTTCAGTGCCTTTCAGCCAGTTAGCAGGGAATCAACCTAGGCAGAGAAAAGCACTCTTAATCAGGGGGTTCCTAAGGTAGAGTGATGTTCAAATGTTAAAGGTAATCACAGGTTATTACTATTTTGAATAGAAATACATTCTAATTAGGTAGAGATAATCATGTTTTATCTCATAAATACTCATCTTTCACATTCTCTAATCAAGTGCCTTTATTGCATTCTACAACAAAAATTCTCCCTGTTGATACCACAGTTGCTTCACTTGTTCTTTGAAAGAATATTCTTACCAGTTTTTCAAACTTTTTTGCGTTCAAAGAATTTCTAATGGGTCATCCTGATAGTTTTGGGAGGCAGGCAGACCAAACAATGTCTATTTTACAGTTGTCCAAACTGGGGCTTGGAGAGGTTATGTAATTTGCCTAGCGATACAAGAGAGGTGTTGGAATCTGAACGAGGTCACCTATCCAGTCCCGACTTCTGCTCAGGTGCTTTTACTGTGTTTTCTCTGGCTGGGTAACCAGCCCAGCCCAGTAGCAGTAACAGCAACACTCACAGAGGCAATGGGATCTTCCTTCACCAGAGCTGGCCTGACCTTTCTAACACCCCCAGGGAGCTATTCTAGGCCCTGACAGGTCATCCCCATTTCCTTGGCTTAGATTGGCCTTTTAGGATGAGTAAGAAAGGAGACGCCCTGTTTTTAATGTTTACTATTTATAGTAAGGTTTTAAAGCTACTTTTAAAGAAATAAAGGGAGAAGCATACTAGGATCTGAAATACTGTGTGCCCTAAAAATCTAATGTACAAAAATAAACCCTTCTCTTTGGGTTTATCAAGTGGCATGATAATATAATTTAGTATCAGATAGTATGTGCTTAGCTTTATATCATTTAATTGTCACTATGACCCTATCTCCTCGGAAACCCAAGGAGGGGTCGCTATGAATCGGATTCTACTTGGGATTTGACTTGATGGTAGTGAGTTTAGGAGCTCTGGTGGCATAGTGCCTAAGGCATGTGTCTGCTAACCAGAAGGCTGGCAGTTCAAACCCACCAGCCACACCTCAGAAGGAAAGTTGGGCAATCCAGTTCCATAGAGATACCGTCTTAGAAACCCAAGCAGGGGTTGCTATGAGTCAGGACCAACTTGACCAAAGTGATTTTTTTTTTTTTTTTGTACTACCCTATCAGGTTATCTGGAGCTCTGCTGGCGTAATGCCTAAGGCATGTGACTACTAACCAGAAGGCTGGCGGTTTAAACCCACCAGCCACTCCTCAGAAGGAAGGTTGGGTAATCTACTTCCAATAGTGATACCACCTTGGAAACCCAAGGCAGGGTCACTATGAGTTGGATCCGACTCGATAGCAATGGGTTTGGTTTTATCAGGTCAGGATTATTATTCACTCATTAATTCTTTCCAGAATTATATCCCAGGCACCGTGCTACCATTTCAATGCCGAGACATGGTACAGAGGTATGCCCCCTGAACTCAGGGAACATAGTCTAGTGGGGGATAAAGCCACTGAACAAAAAATTTCACAAATGGAAAATTGCAATTGTGCCAAGAGCTATGAGGATGAGGTCTATACCGTTGTTGTGAGAAGGTAAAAGAGAGGAATATGACCTGGTCAGAATGGCAGGGACAACTTTGAGATTATCAACCTGAGAGGAGCTAACCAGATGATGGCGGGGGGATGAGTGCTGAGTATTAGGGACAGAAGAAATAGGATATGGAAAGACTTTCTAGAGCAAGAGAGCCTGGAATGCTTAAGGATTGAAAAGGCAGGCCAATGTGGGCAGCACACAAATAGTGAAAAGAATAGTATAAAAGCTGGTGCTCGAATTTTTATTTTCAGGGAAAAAGGAGGCAAGTGAAGGGTAAAGGGACAGAGTATAAGATTAGTTCATTCTGGTGCCATATAAAATAATGTATTGAGGCAAGACTAGAATAAACTTGGGGAGATCCAATTAGGAGACTCCGCCCACAGACTAGGCAGGAGTGATGGTAGGAGAGGCTTGAGGGATAGCAGTGGAGAACAGGAGAATAGGCATGATTATATAGATCTTTAGTTAATCAACAGGACTTGGTGAGGGACTGGATCAGCATGGGAACTGGGAGGGGTTGGAAATGAGAAGCTTATATCAAGAATGCCTCCCATGGTTCGGGCCTGCTAAACTGGATGCTGTTTATCCAGTGAGAAATGAAATAGGACAAGTTTAGGGGTAGAGAAAGGTTTTGAATTTGGTGGGTCTTAGACATGTTTATTTTAAGATACCTTTTAGACACACAAATGGAAAACTCAAAAGATTAACTGTATATAGAGGTCAGAGCTTGGAGAAACATTCTATTCTAGATTGGAGATATAAACCTATAACATAAGTTGTATGTGAACTAAAATAAAAATAGTGGGCATAGAGAAAACCAATTAGTAGGGAGTATAGAGTGAAGAGAACTTCAATATTTAATGGCTGCCTAAAACCAAAAACTAAAACTCACTGCCATTGAGTTGGATCCAACTCATAGCAACCCCTGCTCCTTGGGTTTCTGAGGTGGTATCACTATGGAAGTAGATCGCCCAATCTTCCTTCTGAGGAGTGGCTGCTGGGTTCGAACCTCCAAGCCTTCTGGTTAGCAGTCAAATGTGTTAGGCACTACACCACCAGAGCTCCTGGCTCCTAGCAGAGAAAAAGGGGGCTCTAACATATTAAGTAACTTGCTCAAGCACACGCAAAGAGTAAAGAGAAGTATAAAAATGAAAAAAAAAAAAAAAAAAAAAACCCAAGTTTGGCTGACTAGAGCCCAAGCTTGCAACTATCATTAGGCTCTGCTAGCCTCTTCAACAATATTTGGATTAAAAGCATCACTTTGGGTCTCAAAAAGGTTAACAACTGCAACTTAAGTTACTTACATTTTTCAAGAATTACTAAAGTCCCATTAAAATACACAAGAGACCAAAACTAATGCTGTTTTAAAGTTTGAAAAGCATGATCTCTTCAAGTGTTTCCTTACGGAAAGGTGTTAAGGAAGCACAGTGATGTGAAAGTTGAATGCAATCTCAGAAATTTCCTCTTGCTACTACTTGGTCTATAGAGATCAAGTAGGAGCAATTATAATGCTGTACTTCTCAAGATGGAATACAGGAAATATTCCTGAGATGAACAGCAAGAAGCCAAGGAATACTGGAAGAAAACTGATAAAGATGTTGCATCTTCTGGAGAAATTTTATTTGGTGGCTTTAGGAAGCATTTTTTTTTTACATTAAAAATAAACATATTATTGAATAGAATGCAAACTTTTAAATTCATTTTAAAGACAAACTGAAAGTCCCAAAATTTTGAAATGTGGTAACCCCCATCCCTGTTGTTGTTGTTGTTATGTGCCATCAAGTCGGACCCGACTCATAGCGACCCCTCCTTGGGTTTCCGAGGCAGTATCACTATGGAAATAGATTGCCACATCTTTCTTCCAAGGAGTGGCTGGTGGGTTTGAACCGCCAGCCTTCTGATTAGCAGTCAAGTGCCTTAGGCACTATGCTACTAGAGCTCCCACCCCCAACCCTAGTTCCATGAAAATACTACTCATTCACTTTGTTCTCATATTAAGGGTATTTTTGAGGAAAAGGTTGAGATGTACTGTTACAATGTATTGCATGATCGATCACCTTCCAACCCTACAAAGACCCCAAAGAGAGATCAGCTTATCAAGGGAATATCTTGTGATTTTTAATCATTCAAGAAGGACAACTACAGAGGTCATAGGTCTTGAAGATAAAATGAGTTTGAAGTGAATACTGCCATTTACTAAAGCTTCCAGTGTACTTCTGATTCACTTCATTCACTTTTCTACACTTACTAACAGTGAGAAACGTAAAACCACACAAAACACTGGGTTTAGAGGGATGACTGGCAGCATTTCATAAAATATTTACCTTTCACTAAGTATAAGAAATATACACGAATTCCAAAAAACAACTTTTCAGAAAGCATACAATCATGACTTACCTTTCCAAATGATCCCTGCCCTAATACTTTTAAAAGTTCAAATTGAGAAGGATCTGCCTTTTCATGTCCTTCCTTTACATGATGTGTGATTGCAATTTCTTTGATGCTGCCTTCTTCCTGTTGAGTCAAATAAAAGCAAAGAACACTCAGTCAGAGCTACTTTCTCCTGCTTGAAATAAAGTAAAATTAATTTAGCATACTAGAAATCCTCAAATTAATACACAAACCACCCTTTGTTGACTTACCAATAGAAAACACACCAAGCAAACACACTTTGAAGTTAAGTGTCTAAGACAGAATAATACCAACCCATCATGTAGGCCAATTTAATTCCTACATAACATTAGATTTGAACAATCCTAAATTCCCATTTTCTGTACTGGAGAAAATTAGAATGAATAGTTTCCTGGGGTATGGGTGGGGGTGGGTTTAAAGGACTCTGAAAATGACATACCACAGACTTCTGTTATGTACTGACACGTGGTTGTACTAAGTAGAACTAATGTTATATATGTATGTGCGCGCGCGCACACACACACACACACACGTTTATAAGTCTCCTTACTGGGGAAAGGAGTTGAATAATATTCAAGGCTAAATGTGGAGATTTCTACCCTTAGCATAGCCATTTGAGAAAGTACACTTTTTCTGCCTGAAATATATAAATTATTTTCTGCTTCTAGAAGTACCTAGGATCTGAGAATGAAGAAAGGAATTCTAAAACACAAACTCAACAAAAGATCTAACCTTGGGCAGAGGATAAGACATGAAAAATGACTATTCACCATGATGGAACAGCGTGGGATCTCAGGGTAAAGAGAAGAAAACTTAAAGACAGGGGATACCAGTATATTTGAGGGGAGGTGTCAGGAGAAAGAGAAAGGCAGAATAAGAGTATGCATAAGGATTTCAATGACTGATTCATCCTGAGAACAGCAATAAAGTACACCTTAATCAAGATACTTGAATATACAGCCAAAGACTACAATACTAAAAAAACAAAGCCCAATAAAATAAACATAAGCCTGTCTAAAAATGACTATTTCTATTTTGTTGAATATAATGAAATTTTATTTTCTAGGTGCATAAGTATTATTAGTACAATCTAATGTGTTATGTAAACACACTGCACTATTGTTATTAGTACTGTATGAATAAATGTTTGAGCTCAGTTAACATTCTCTGAGACATCCACAGAATGCTGGCAACATAGCGAATAACAAAGATTCTTAAAAAATGTATACCAAGATGTTCTAATGAGGAAGCTTTTGAAAATCAGTAGTAAAAGGGGGGAAAAATAAAACCAAAAGAAAACAAGGAATTCAGGCCCACCATTTTGTTGCTTACGACAGAGGCTGTAGCTTGTAGACTGCCCTACTACTGAGGAAGCTCAATCATTTTGGACTCTCAGGACTTTGGTAACAATAACATGATAATCCTCCAATATTTTATTTAAGCCTGTATTCTGTAATTCCACATGCATTATCTCCTTTAATTCCTACAATCACCCTGTGCAGTAGGTATCAAGGTAGAATCAAGGTTAGTGGATTTAGAATCCACCTTCTTTCTGAGAACCCCTTCTCCCCAAGTAAGATCAATGTTACAAGGTCTTGTGAAGTGGACGCTGTTAGTAGCTACGACGGAAAAGGCAGGAAGCAAGAACAAGGGATATATGTATGTATTATCAGTCAAGGAAGATTCAAGTCCAGCATGCATTTAGGAAGCATCTACCAAGAATGAAGTCTATGTTAGGTGCTTTTTCATCCTTTCTCTTGTATTTAAGCTTCACAATAAATCTCTGGACATATATTAAGGTTAGAGAAGGCTGACAATAACATAAAAAACCATAATCCATCTCACTGCCATCAAGTCAATTACAACTCATATTAGTGACCCCCTACTTTGGGTTTCTGAGGTGATAAATCTTTACAGAAGTAGATTGCCTAGTCTTCCTTCTGTGGAGTGGCTGGTTGGTTTGAAACACCAATCTTCTGGTTGGCAGTCAAATGCCTTAGGCACTATGCCAGCAGACCTCCTTGACAGTAACAGAGGGGAGCGAACTCTACAATGAGCCAAAACATTTCCGGATTCTCTCTGTACTCCCCCATTCAACACTAGAAATTTGATAGATCTCTGAAAGGCAAAATAGTTTCAATACATTTAGAAGTTAAAAGAGACTAAGTGACTTCTAAAAATCACAAGTCAGTTAACAGGCAGAGTTAGGGCTAGATTCCAGGTTTTGTGACTTCTACAACAAGGCTCTTGCCAATATACCACACCAACACTGTCAGGGGCACTTGATGATTTCCCATCTAAGATAAATGACTGGAACATAGCCGTATTCCTCTGGTCTCTGTAAATGGTCTGTATCTTGGGTCAGTTAGCTTATTAAAAAGTTCATGTCTCTGAACTTCTGGTAGTACATCATTAGCGAATATTTAGTTATCGATCGACAAATTATATACATGTTGTTTTGTAGCATTACATTAAATACATTATAAATGGAAATGTAACTTTATAAAGCAGTTCTTATGCATCTTCCAGCAGGCATACAGGATCAAGCCTTACTCTTCCACAGCAGTCAGTAACTATATCAACAATGGTTACCATTAAAGAAAGATTGCATCTTTGATAACTACCATTTCTTTCCCAGGTCAAGTAAGTTACTAAAATAATGTAGAGGATCTCTTTGAACCTTTCATTTAATAAACATATACAGAAATACCTACTTTGTACCCAGCGTGTTCTTGGGTACATTCTTTCATTTTCTATTTCCAAGGAAATCATCCACGTATAAGCCTTTATTACCTTTTATGTAGAAAACTGAAACTAGCTTTGTTAACTCATACCTCTTTCAGAGCTACCCACTAATTCATCCTACTGAAAATTTCATCTTCTGAAAGTACCCAGCCCCAATCATATGACCAGGCTGCTCAGAAGTGCTTCACCTTGGCATTTAAGGCCCTATACCCTCAACCTAGGAGCTCTGGTAGCATAGTGCCTAAGGCACTTGACTGCTAACCAGAAGGCTGGCGGTTCAAACCCACCAGCCACTCCTCAGAAGGAAGGTTGGGCAATCCTACTTCCGTAGTGATACCGCCTCGGAAACCCAAGGGGAGGGGTCGCTATGAGTCGGGTCTGACTTGACGGTAGAGGATACTCTCAACCTATCATCGGTAATTATCTCCCAACATTCTATTATACATAGCTACGTAGTCCAAAGGTAGCTTTTAGTCAACAAGGTTATTTCTTGATCTCTATAAACTTTCTAAGTATCAAAGTAATACATGCACAGGGGTAACAAATAAAACAGTGACAGACTAGCTTGTGTCATGAATACAAGTATCCTCTTACTTCCATACCTAGGCTTTAAAAGAAAAAATAGTTCTTTCTGTATCTAATTTGATTAATTTCTTAACGTTAAGACAATGCATACTGGCTTAAAAATAAGGAAGATGAAGGGGCTAACATATGCCCATTCCTTCCACAAGCTTCCTCCCCACTGTTTGGTAATTATATTACGTTTACAGAAACCTCTCGACTTTCCTGTCCGTTTTGGACAGTCTCAACTCCTCACTTTGTAAAAGGCGGCTAACTGAGCCCTACATTCTTTCACTCATATTCACTCTCACCCCCTTCCACCTGCTACAAGCTATAGTTTTAGCTTTTCTTGTTTTCATACCAGCATGCAAGCCTTTATTAAAAGCAAAGCACGTTTCCAAAGGGGTGTAAACGGGTCTTTCCCTGCGAGTGGGGAGGACCTAGCTTTTTCTTAAAGTTATTAAGAAAATTAACATTCTATCTTGCAACCACTACGAAATCCTTCATGCTTTCTCCACAGCCTGGTTTAAAAGCTGAAATCCTATGCAACAACATCCATATTATCATGACAATAAAAATGTTCACATACAGTCCAGGTAGTATATTAAATTTCCTTTTATATGGCCCATAGCAGTGACTCCCAGGGCAATACTAAGGCATGATTACTAGACGGTTTTTCCCCCACCTTTCTTTAAAACACTTCATCAAATACGTACATTCATGATAAATTTTATTTTCATTCCCATTTGGACTTTGTCAGTTTTCTATTTTTCCTGTTCCTAATAGCTCATCCTTTGGTGCATGTGGGACAAGGTTAATTTACTATTGTTCTTAAACGTTTCTTAGCCTTTTTACTCATACTTTCCATTCCTCCGAGAACCCCTTTCCATCCTGGAGACCTCTCTTCCTCTGTGCCCTGGATGGATTGGTTGTTCACTAGGCCAGCTGCACAGCCATTACTTTGGGATACCTCTTTAATGCTTTTCTGGTTAAATCCACTCTACCCAGTTTCCCATCTCTCTCTCTCTCTTAGATTACTCCCTTGTAAGTTCCTAAGAAAGGTGATAATAGAAGAAAACTTCCTGAACTTCGAATGTCTGAAAATGTCTTTATTTTGTCTTTACATTTGTATAGTTTGGCTTAGTACCAAATTATAGGATAAAAATAATCTTGCCTCAGAACTTTGACCCCATTGGTCCATGGCCTTCCTGCAGCTGGTGTTACTGATGAGATGTGTGATGCTTGCCTGGTATACATTTTTTTGATAGTGACTTTTTTTTTCCTGGAAGCTTTGAGGATTTTCTCTGTCCTCCTATTTCTGAAAGTCCACACTAGTGAGATAAATACAGGTCTTCTTTCCTTCAGAACATTGCATGCTTGGTGAAGAACCTTTTAATTTGAAGACTTGAATTCCCCTATTTCTGTGATAATTCCCTTCCATCCATTTTTCCTACTTCCCTTTTCCCAAGTCCTCTATTATCTGGGTATCCTCTCTCTGAAACAGAACGCTTTATGCAGCTTCTCTTTCTTTCTCCGATAATCCATTTCTACTTTGAAGACTTCCTTGACTAAATCTTCTCATCCTCATACATTATTTTTTATTCTGGTAAATCTTATATTTAAATAAATTTTGAACTACTCTTTTTCTCTGAGTGTTCCTTTTTTCTTACATAGCATCTTCCTCCACTCCTACCCACTCTGGCAATGAATGCAATCATTGCAAATCTCTTTGAAGACACAATTAGAATTTTTAAAATCTTTTTTTTTTTTTTTTAACATTGGGACCAGCCCAGAGGGTATAGAAAATGGTCTTTGGGGTAGACAGAAAAGATTAATGTCTGTGTGAGTTTGACATTGGCCAAAGTTTCTAACACCAGACCCTGTTTTGCCCTAAACACAGTTTTGTGTTCCTTCTAAGTCTGCTGTTGTTGCTGGGTGCCATGAAGTCAGTTCTGACTGACTCACAGCGACCCTGCGCACAACAGAATGAAGCACTGCCCAGTCTTGTGCCGGCCTCATAGTCATTGCTATGTTTGAGCCCACTGTTGCAGCCACTGACTATCAATCTGTCTTATGCAGGGTTCCCATCTGTTTTGCTGACCCTTTACTTTACTGCTTGGTAAATCCTTCCAGGGATTTGTCTCCTCTAAGTTAAGTCCTAAAAAAAAAAAAAAAAAAAAAAACTATGTCTTTTTTTTTTGCTAATCACACCAGCAAACTATTTTCTGTCTACTTTTATGTCCTATTGGTATAATAGGCAAAATACCTATTCTACCTCAATGCCCAGACACTGCTTAATGCTGCCAGTTTTTCTAAGCCATGGGACCAAGGGTGTTTTAGAAGTGAACCTGAAGGTCTCTAGGACATACTACTAATGCTTAGGCAATCTTGGATAATAGGTAGGAAAGCATCTGTGGTCTTCTGTCTCACACATGTAATCCAATGAGATGGATGCAGAGAGGGGTATCAAACTTCAGAAGGCACTGATAACCCAAGAACAGAGAGTGACATGAGCATGTGATAACCATATCTATGTCAGCAAATCACCTGTTACCCACATAAATCTGTCACATGAAAACATAAAGCTAGTTTGACATTTGTAAAGCTGGACTTTTGCCTGCAAATACACTGTGAAACAATTATGGAAATTTATGGAAAAAAAAGTTTATCAATAAAGTAGAACAAAGATATAAATTATGTTCATAATAATTACCCAGTTAGGCTCATATTTTTATGTTCTCTTTCACAACTCTGTTTTAAATGATCCATACATAACTCCCCACTCATTAGCACAAAAAAGTACTTCATGATTTAAAAACTCATTATAATAAACTCCATATTGTTATTTTTAGAACGCGAACGCTTATTTGGTAAATAAAGGTCTAAATAACTAAAGGCAAAAGTTTGAGGCAGGCAGCTGGGCCTTACCATGACTCAGTATCATTCTTCCATCTTCCACCCCCTTATAGTCATCTGCCCCACCAAGTCTAGGTGTGCAATACCCTCAGGCTATATATGGGAATTCTTAATTCATCCATTCATTCAGATATCTACTGAGCACTTAATATATGCTAGGCCGCCTTCTGCACCCACCATTCACTGCCATCCAGTGACCCTAGATGACAGAGTAGAACTGCCCCATAGGGTTTAAGGTATTACATCTTTATGGAACCACAGAGTGCTTGATGGGTTCAAAATGCTGACCTTAACCACTGTACCACCAGAGCTCCTCAGGCACTCTTCCAGGTGCCTGAAATACACACTAAGTGAAACTAACCCAAGTCTCTGCCTTTGTAGATACTGAATTCAAATGGAGAGACCAAACAACAATAATAAGAAAGCTGGTGTTAAACATGATAAATACTCTGGAAAAAAAGATAATTCAGTTGGGTAAGGGGATCAGAAGTGAGGGGTGGAAAGGAGGAGATTGCCATTTTAAATAAAGGAATCAAGTTTGCCTTCACTGAGGTGCTATGTGAACAAAGACCTGAAGGAGATAAGGGAGCTGGCAGTCTGGGTAAAGAGCTCTGGGTGAAGAGCTCGGCAGGCAGAGGGACCAGCCAGTGCAAACACCAGTGCAGGATACATGGAGATCGCTATTAGGAGCAGACAGGAGAGGAGAGGAAAAGGAGGCAAGGGCAGAAAACTCAGGTAGCACTCATGCTTTGGCTTCTTTCTTATGACCTGTTTTGAATAAAAATGTTTCTGACTTACGGCATATTCTGTTGGCATTTCAAATTTCTGTGCTAGATCCTACTAGGTGTTAGAGATACCAAGAGAAAGAAAAGCTCCCATCTCTAGGAGTTTCCTGGATTTTGAGATTAGTTAAAGAACGATTAAGATGTGACCATGTGATTAAATCAATTAAGTTAAAAAAAAAATCTGGGAATTCTGTAAATCCTGTCATTTCAGACATCTAAGAAAGAAAAATGGCAGAAGAAAATCCATGGACAGGTGGATTTTTTCCTGCATCTTCAGTCACACAGACAGCCACCTCATTTGTTTTTCAGGACCCAATAAAAGGTTCTTAGTTCACCTTTAAATATTAAATAGTCTTTAAGGTTTACCCCCTTAAAGGTTTATTTTAAAGGGGAAAAAAATTAACTCAATGGTGCCTTTTCAAGTTAAGAGGGAAAAGTACAATTTTGTTCTTAAAATGACAAAATAAATAAAGGACCTGCAATCAATGTCCCCTATTTGAGTTATATAAAACTTAATACTGTAAAATGCTAACATGAAGAAAACAAACTGGGTTGTATTAACTGATTTGAAAGAATGATTCAACATTTGGCATTATGCCTTGCCTTGTATACATAATTTCCTTTTTCCTCCCCTCCCTTGAGTCAGGAAGTATGTTCTTGAAGCATTTATATTTTCTAAATTGTTTTCGTGTCAGAAAATATTATTTAAGTTTGAAGTAATATTTAAATGTTCCTGGGTAAAAACCAAAAAATAAGAATTTTTAAACCATGAATTTGTGTAACCATGTTTAGGCCTCACATAAAAAAAGACCTTATAATTGAAAAATATATACTTATAGTCTGTTGACCCCTTAAGTGTAATTCCCTAAATAATTAAGGAATACTCACTACACAGACTATCTATAATTCTGTATATACTTTTTCATATTCTAGAAAGATGCTTTCTCTTTTTGGGCGACCGAGATATAAAAATTATTTGGCTGTGGCACGTAACGAAGCTGATTATTCAAACAATGGTGAGAAAGCACATTTCAGCTTATTTTCTATTACAATTCAACCAGATTCAACTCACTTGATTTGCTAAAGGAATGAAAAATATACTCAGTGTTTTTCCCTTAAAAGAATTCTTTAAGAGTGTTACAAACCACCTTCTTGTATCTCCATCAGGAAAAACAGCATTGCTGCTAGTTCTTTGGACTAGCATTTTTCATCACTGCCATAAAAAGCACACATCCCCCCCACACCCCAAAATCAGAAATACTAATCAGCAAATTTAAATCTCTTTAAAGGGCAACATGATAGCACAATTTTCCCGACAAAAAGTCACTTTTATCAGGATTTTGGATTAAATATTTATCATTCACTCAGCTCCTTTTAAAGTAACTGTTCCTACTCTAGATAAAATTACTTGTTTAAAGTTCCTCAAACACAGACTTGCTTTAAAACTTTCAAAATTTTACAGCAACCACTTTAACAAATATGTGATTTAGTTTCCGACTATTTCAAATAACACATTCTACCTGTCAAAACATGGCTTCCATTATACTAATCTACTAAACACAATCAAGTTTGCACTTTTGTTCATGCCTAGTTAAAGAGTGGGAGTCATGCGTATTATACAAAATTATGAACACTATATCAAGATCAAAAGTCCTTTAGAAAGCCAGTGTGGAAGTAAGTTTACAAAATATACAAAATTTAAATATCTAACACACTAACCGACTTACTTTTAATATGCAGAAATACTATTCTTTAATAGTTCTATAAAAACCAGTTTTGATTTTTGAAAAGCTTCTTAAATGAACAAGTAAAATGGACTTTAGTTAATTAGTATAATTATAGTTATCTCCAACTAAAACATTTTATTCTTTAAAGAAGTTGAACAAAGCTTACCCGTATAGAGCGAACACGAAAAGACAAAAACTTAAACATGGCTATGAAACCATGATGTTAACAGAATTTCTGACTGTAAAACTTAAGTTAGAAAGGGAAGGCCAAGCCCCTGTAAGTTTTCTCCTACCAGCTGTTCCGGCAATTAGGAAATTTCCTGTCAGGCGGGTCCTGAAAATGCTAGAAAAAGAGGCCTGACAATTTTCCTGTGGTAAAAGAAAGGAGAAACTTAAAGGCAGGAGCACTAATGTAGCTGATAGTTAGGGGCCAGAATAGGAAACCAAAACAGATTTGCTGATAGCAAAATCCTGTTGATATGTTCTTTTCTCTTGGGCTCAGCAATCCCATTTTTACAACTAGTCAAATGAACACTTTAGTTTAGGATCCTGAGAAATGCCAGTATTTCTTAACTTGTTGTGTTGTTGTGTGCCGTCGACTCGGACCCGACTCATAGTGACCCCTCCTGGGGTTTCCAAGGCAGTATCACTACAGAAGTAGATTGCCTCATCTTCCTTCCGAGGAGTGACTGGTGGGTTTGAACCACCAGCCTTCTGGTTAGCAGCCAAGTGCCTTAGCCACTATGCTACCAGAGCTCCCATTTCTTAACTATATGGCCCTTTAAAGCAACTGAAATAGTCACCACTATTAAAATAATAAAAGTCACTTATGCACATGAAATTCAACCCTTTGTAATAGTTATACACACACTCCAACGGATATTCAAGATTATTCTAAGATTATATATAGATATGGCATGGGTGTTCCCCATCAATGAGGAAGTATCATAACTATGGACAGAAAATGAAGTACACAGGCAAGGTACTTTCTTACTGCGATGTAAGGAGGAATTCTTTTACATTGATCATGTACATCAATTGTCAACTAGGTCAAAGGCTTCAAGGAACATGGCTAAAATTCACATTCCCTGGTTGATAAATTCTAAATTAAAGAAAAAAAATCCAATCCTTGGGTTACTACCAGGGCTCTGAACCGGTTCAAACTGGTTCAGTCATGGCCAATGGTGCAACACCAGAAGACACTCAAATTTTAATCAAAGCTATGGAGTATCAGGAGAGGCATAGTGAGCACTTTCAGGAGCCAGATGTGGAAGACTGGATTATTGGCAAAAATGTGTAGAGCAACAGAGAGATACACAAAGCAGGGCAGTAAAACCACCATCTCTGAGCCAGGATCCACTCCTTCCCTTGTTGCTTCCTGCTCTGAGGGAAAGAGATTTAGCTGTTAAGCAACAGTGGTGCTGCCCCAAAAGGGAGATTAAGTTTCTAGCAGGGCTACTACTGGTAATTTTTCCTGTTCCAGGTACTGTTCCAAACTCACTGGAATCAAGTCGATTGCAACTCCTAGCAACCCCCTTTGGGTTACTGAGGCAGTAAATCTTTACAGAAGTAGATTGTTGAAGTCTTCCTTCCACAGAGTGTCTTGTGGGTTGGAACCTCCAACCTCTGCTTAGCTTCAAGTAAATGCCTTAGGCACTACACACCAAGAGAGCTCCTTATCACTCCAGGTCTCTCCAATTTAAAAAATTTGTGTCTGTTCTGGTGTCACTTTCCTCTGCAATGACTGAACTTGTCTAGATCCTCTTCAAAGCCCTGGTTACTAGTGTGTAAAAGGGAACATTGAAGAAGGGAACCTGGAAAAGAAGGTAAAGCTACTATGCAAACTCCTTCGCTCCACTTCATCCTCTAATAGCATGTTGAAGTTTTACTAAGGTATTTTTGCTTTGGAAAATCTTTCTCAAAGCATGCCAATAATCAGAGCACTATCACTGTAACAGTGGCACTTAAACCAAACTCAACAACCGAAGGACAACAGCAGCACTGAGAGCTGTAGTAAAAGGTCCTACTCAATGTGCATTGGATCTACGTGGCACCAATGAGAACCTCAAGTGTTAAATTTTACATGGGTTATAAGAATTCAATAAAATCACTGAGTTTTAGAAACCTGAAAAGATTTTAGAAAACACCAAAAACAAACAAAACCCAAACTCACTGACACTGAGTTGATTCCAACTCACAGCTACCCTCCCCATTGGGTGTTCCAGGTGGTTAATCTTTGTGGAACTAGATTGCCCCGTTTTCCTTCAGCGGAGCAGCTGGGGTTTGAACTGCTTACCTACCTGTTAGCAGCCAAGTGCCTTATCCACTATACCACCAGAGCTCCTTAAGAAGCCAAGACAGGCATATATTAGGAAATGGAGTTGTCTATAATGGAGCTCCTCTCAGTATTCATTTCCTGAGCAAATATTAGAGTGCCCATTATGTGTGAGGGTACTATAGGAAAGACCAGGCCTGGCTTGTTATATTAAATTTTTATGGTAATGTCCTATAAAGGACCCAAAAGAAGTTTAAGAATACCTTTAAAGGAGCAGGTTTGCTGGTCTGATAGAGCCTGGCGAAACCTGAGACTGTGGCCCCTAGCTGCACTTTAGGTCTGGAATTGAACCCACTCCTGTGTCTCCCAGCCAAACAAAGGACAGGCATGTGTTTACATTAAGTAGATACACTCCTTGGCGAGATGAATCACGGAAGAATTGAAGGGCTGCGTATGCTCAGGGAGAAGCAATACATGGAGGGAAGGACACAGGGAAGAGGTAACTATGGGGAGGAAGTGGGAGGGGAGCTGTTGCATTGTGGGAAACTGCAGTTAATGTCATGAGACAAAAGTAAGCTGCTCTATGGAAAGTGAATTTGCTCTGTAAACTTTCACCCAAATAACAATAAAAATTAAAAAACAAAAACAAAGAATACCTTTTAAAAAAGGTCAAGCACATTAAAATCAACTGGGACCTAAATAAACATTCAAGACTGAAGTTTGAATTCTACCTGGGAAGTTATGCACTTCTCTTAATGACAAACACATGCCTAAATTTTTCAGAAAGGAAACAAACCACTTAGGAAGTTTTCCATCAGAACACAAACCTCACATTTCCAAGAAGGAATCATTTATGGTTCCAAAACAGCAGCAAGGGAAACCACCTATCACATAACTACAGTCTGAAGATGAAGTGGCTCCTAAAATCATGGCAGGAAGAAAAGCATCATGCTTACTGCACAACAGATTAAGTAGCATAAAACAAAACAGGAGTGTATCTGTGGAAAGCACTCATCAACTTTATTCAAGTAATACTTCTCAGCAGGTGCAACTAAATGTACTTTTTTGTAAACTTAAAGGATTCGTCTACTTTGGCTGTAATTACTACAGAAGCTCAGGGTAATAATTCACACATCTTGTGTGTTATGCTTTCTAATACTGAAACGAGTTTCAAAAAATAAAACAAAAAACACCCCACTGAACTGATTCAGACTCACGGTGATGTCACATGCGTATAAGGAGAACTGTACTCCACAGGGTTTTCAATGGCTGGTTTTTTGGGGAACAGATCACTGTGGTAGTTAAATTTGTATGTCACCTTGGCTGGGCCTGGTTGAGTGGCTGGGCAGCTGGTGGTAGTTATTCTCCATGATGAGACTGGCAATCAGCTCCATGGTGGGATTCACCACAAGCAGCTGAGTAGCTGCCTTTGGGTATGTGGTCTGCTTCCAGTATATAGAAAGCAACTTTGGGAATGGTCTCTA